TTCTCTGCTGTAAATATAACTCCAGTTATAATTAAATCATTGCTTCCTTCCTATATGAGTTTGTGGGTCATACAGACCCGCAGAATGGAAGATCCAAAGCAGTGCAGGCACTCTGGGGCTGCTAGCTATTAGGTATTAGATCAGGTGGCGTATAAAAAACAAAATCAGCTAAAATATCATTAACTGAGGCCTTCTGAGAACATGAGTGTAGCTGTATGCTGCTAAGCATCACAGCAGGGCCTTATACCAAGCTGTCTTGAAGTTCATGGTGAACAAGTGAAATAGTCTTATAAAAATACTGTTTTGGAAAGTTGGAACCACTATGCAATGTGTTTCTAATCCCAGCTCTGCTGTAGACCGCCTGGTGGTGTGATATCCAAGAGTTCCCACTGATTATAAACTCCCACTGAGTCCTGGGCAGGCAGTGGTGTTTCATCTGTAAAACCAGAATAGTACCTGAGGTCATAGGGCAGATCTATTAGAAGCTGAATTCATGATTTATGAAGAACTCTAATGCTGTGTTGAGGCCGTTGAAGGAGTTTTTAAAAAAAAAAACAAAAACAAAAACAAGAAGAAACTTAGCCAGTGTGTAGAATCTTTCTCTAAATAAAAGAATTTATGAATGCATATTCTTAAGGCTTGGTTCCCTATAATTAAGCATTTGGTTTTACTCCTTTCTCTAGAGGTGCTGAGTGCTGCAGCGCTTGTTTGCTGAGACCTGCAGATGTGCTGCACTTTTTCAGCCTGGCTGCCCTCGCTGAGCTTTGTAAACCCGAGACAGGCAGTGGTCAGGCCTCTGGCTCCTGGTGCATCTCCTGTGAGGTGGAGGAGCCTGCTGCCCACGTGGGACCAGCGCACAGGCTGCCTGAGCCCTCTCAGCCACTGCCGATGGCCACAGGAGGGCTTGCTGGGGTCAAGGGGGAGATCCCCAGGCCCTCCCAGCCTCCAGCAGGCCTTAATCTGAGTTTGTACTTCAGTTGCGCAGCTCCAGCTCTCTCAGTGCCAGTTTCTTGTATGGGGTCCGTGGGCACCAGTGTGTCCCTGCGGTCGGTAGGACAAGGCTGCGCTGCCTAGTGGTGCCTCTTGCTGCGTGGATGGCAAGCAGCGGTTGAGCACTCAGCAACACCATCTGCTGGCTGGCTGCAGGGCATGGTGACGCTGTCCGACAGCCTAGAAACTAGTGCTACCGAGACCTTTAGGTGGTTTCGTTTTCTGGTGTGTGATGAAAAGGCAAAAAAGAGAAAAATCCTGCCAGGCAGAAAGTGCAACTATTAGAAACTGATCTAGTTTATCTAGTACTCCTGGTTCAGTATGGTTCTTTTGCTGTGTTCAAAGCAGGGCAGGTGCAGGAGCCATCCTCGGAGGTGCATTCGTGCTTGCTTGGAAAACAAGAAGAGCTGGAAGACGCTGAGGAAAGATCTCTAGCCCTGAGGGTAGTGGAGCCCCAGAGTACCTTGGTGGTAGCTTGTGAAATCCTCTTTGTGGGCAGTTTTAAAAAATAGTTGGACAAACATCTGTCAGGAGTGGCTTGGG